AACAAAATCGCCTGAGCACATACACCATTCCACGTTCTGTTCTATAGGCCGCGGCACATCATGAAGAAAACACAAAAATCCTTGTCCTCAAAGAACTTATTCTTGTGGGGGTAGACAGTTTAAAATCAGGAAACACAGTAGGCAGATTGTGTGTGTGTGTGTGTGTGTGTGTGTGTGTGTGACAGTTTTAGGCTAGAGTAGAGATTAGAGCAGAAAGGGGAGAAATATAGGTCTCAAAAGGCCTGGTAGGTCTTAGCAAGGAGGGAATAAACTGCAGAGGGTTTTGAGAAGAGGAACAAAAAGAAGTGTCACTATGGCTCCCATGGAGATGTGGGAGGAGTGCAGCAAGCTCAGAAATGTGGAGACCAGTTAGGAGACTGTTGGAATAATCCAGATGAAGGCTGAAGGCCAGACCAGGAGGTGAGAAGAGGTCAGGTTCCAACCAGGTTGCTGGGGCCAGGTTTTAAAGGCAGGGCTGACAGCTGGGATGTGAGATTTGAGAGAGAAAGTAATCTTCATAAACTCCAAGGGATTGGCCTAAAGCAGCTAGAAAGGTGGAGAGTTGTTAACTGAGAAGGGAAGGCTGGTGGGAGGAGCAGGTTCTAGGGCCTTGATCAGAAACTGATTTTGGACATGTTATGTTTGGTGTTGGATGAGCCTCAGACATCTCAAGGAATGGGTAAGTCTGGGTCAGGGTTGGAAATAAAAATGTAGGAGACATCAGCTTGTCAATGAATTAGTGGTCAGGCTGAGAACTGGCAGTTGGATTTGGCACAGTGTAAGCCACTAAACAATCTTAAACAAGCACTTTCAGTGCTGTGTGGGCCCAAAAAGAATGGGCTGGAAAATACTGGAGCCAGACAAGTCTTTCAAGGAATTTTGCTGTAAAGGAGAGCAGAGAACATGGGGCTGGGGCTGGAAGGAGAATTGGAGTGAATTTTATGTGATTTTTGTTTGTTTTGGGGGCTTTTTTTAGTTAATCCTCACCTGAGGATATTTTTTTTCATTGATTTTGAGAGAGAGAAAGAAACATTGATTTTATAGACACATATCGATTGGTTGCCTCCTGCATGCTGGGGCCAGAGTTCAAACCTGCAACCCAGATATGTGACCTGGACCAGAAATCGAACCTGTGATCCTTCGGTGCTCAGGCTGACATTCTAACCACTGAGCAACACCAGCCAGGGATGAATTTTATGTTTTTAAAATTCAGAGGACTTTTTAATTTGGCCATCTTTATCGGTTACATTTGGCAGAACTTTTCATTGTGGACAATTTTACATACATACAAAAAATAGAAAATACAGGCTAATGAGGCCTCATGTACCCATCACACCAATCCAAGGCCAATTTTGATTCGTTCCTCCCTGTCCCCCACTTCCCTGGATTACTTTGAAGCAAATCCCAAGTCTCATTACATCTGTAAATATTTCAGTATGTCTAAAAGGATAAGGAGTCTCCAAAAGGACAACCACAATACGACTTTCAAACCTAAAAAAGTTACAGTACTTACAAATATCCAACCAGTGTCAAAATTTCAATACTTATAAAAAATTAAAATATATACAAATATCCAACCAGTGTCCAAATTTCCCAAGTCTCTATTTTTCTAGCTTGTTGCAACTAGTTGACAGATCTCTTAAGTCTGTAATTGCAGGTTTCCCCATAATCTCTCTCAGTCTCTCCCTCTTTTCCTTCTTTTTCCTTGAGATTCATTTGTTGAAGAAACAGGTTTGTCTGTCTTGTGGACTTTCAGTCTGGATTTTGATGATTGGGTCAGGAAATGTGGTGACATCTATCCTAGGTATTTCCTGTAACTTGGTGTATACATGTAGAGAAATCTTATTGGATTCAGGTTCCCCTTTGGTGAACTTCCATCGAGAGGCACATAAAATCCAGTTGTCCCTCCTTTCGTGACTTTAGGGGCCGACGAGAATCCTTGTCTAGATCCATTATATAATTATTCCAGTAAAGGCTGCAAAATGGTAATATGTCAATTCTACCATGAAGAGAGGAGTTTTTTGTTTTTATTGTTTATAAGGTGCAAACCAGTCTGTCTATGTGAGTGGGAATAATCTCTTGGAGAGGCGTAAAAAAGTGGTGCCTGGCTTTGACCTTTGGCAGCAACCCCTAAATCCTCAAACTTGGTCCTATAATCGTGACCTGACGTCACTCCTCTGACCCCTGTGCCCCTGATCCCTTCCTCTCAGTCTAACTGTTCTCTATCCTGGGCAACTCTATAACGTCAGCGTTGGCCCAAATTCTACGACCCCTAACCTCCAACCCGGGCCAGATCCCGCTTTTGCCCCCTGGAAGACGGACTTGCGGGACTGCCAATAGTTTAAGCTACTGAGGGATGACGCCCAATAGCGCAGAAGAGGAGGCGGGCCCTGGGAGGAGTCAATAGCTTAAGAAGGAGAGCCAAGCAGCAACCAGTTAGCCTTGAGCGAGAGGCGGGACACTGAGGAAAGCCAATCGCTGGAGGGACTCGACGCAGCCGCACTCCAAGGCTCTGGGACGGGGGCGTAGCCCTGACCTCGGCGGGTCCCGCCCCTGGGCTCGGAGGCTATGACCGGGAGCGGGTGGCTGGCGCTGCGGACGTTGCCCGGGCCTGGCTGGGTGCGGGGCTCTGGCCCAGCCGTGCTGAGACGCCTGCGGGATGCGGCTGTGGTGCGGCCCGGTTTCCTGAGCGCGGCCGAGGAAGAGACGCTGAAGCGCGAGCTAGAGCCCGAGCTGCGCCGCCGCCGCTACGAATTCGACCACTGGGACGCGGTGAGGCCGGCGACGCTGGAGGCGGGGCCGCGTCAGAGGCGG